GCTTAAAGAAGTTCTTGTTTGATTGTTTAATAGTAGTATAGATGGATTTGTCTGAAATTAGTTTCCTAATAGGATGGATGCACTCTGATTTAGTTTCCTAGAATAGGATGCACCCGTGATTATTAGTTTCCTAATTGCTCAGGCGTGGAGTTTCATATTTTCCTCCACGGTGGAGTACGGTCAGTCAATGTAAATTGCAAAGTGCACACAGAAAATGGTTTAGGTTAAGGCTAACCGTTAGATTGATTTTAGTGGGCCTAATCGTGTGGTTGTATTGGATCTATGTACGCTTTGTGGGGTGTGCTTAAAGAAGTTCTTGTTTGATTGTTTAATAGTAAGTATACATTTAATGATGTTGCCAGTCGTGCTTCACGGGTATGGAAATATATTTCCGTACCCCAGAATTATGTTGCGCATTACAACTCCTGCTTTATCTAGCTATATGCACTGAACTGCAATTGTTTAGAATTTTAATACTATCTTGTGGAATATGAGTCTAGATGCTCTGTGAGCAGTCAAGAAGGAAGAGAAAATGCACAAAAAGATAAAACATGGCAGCCAATAGCGAGAAGACATAGTGTGACTTAACTAGTTAGTTCCCTTCACACTCGGGAGGTGATCGCTCACAGCACAATAGCGACGGCAACATGTACCTCTCCATGGTGTTCCAAACAGCGCCGGGTAGCCATCAGGACCTGGGGATTTTGTTGGGCCCATTTGAAACATTGCATTTTCTATCTCCTCATCAGAGCAGGGCTTGCGTAAGTCATCATTCGTATCCTGATTCACCTTCTGAGGGATAGCCTTCAATAGTGCATCCATATCATCATAGGGTTCAGAAGCCAAAAGATCACAAAAGAAAGAATGAGCCATCCCTTTGAGACCAGCTTGTGAGTTGTGACTCACATCTAGAGACATGTGGACCCTCAAGCACAGATATTCCATTAGTGTGTCTGCGTGAAGAAGTCGTTGCATGGAAAAGGCTGTGCATCTATCACCTTTATGCACCCATCACCTTTTTCTCAACACTTCTTCGGTACAACCCCGGACACATCAACGGTCCAAATTAGAAGATACCCCTTCGCGAGGATAAGTGAGTAGGGGTAGGATGGGAAATTAAGTTTGGGGCGGCGTACCGCGGCGTAGCGAGGCGCATGACCGTACGTGGCCGTATTGCCCGCTGTACGCCCGTACGTGGGCGGTGTATGCCGCGTGAGGAGGAGGGCGGGCCCACAGGTACTAAACCCTAATTAGATTAATACATTAATCCGGCGCGCGGTACGGCGTGCGAATCCATTAACGCCGGCACAGTGAGACGTCCCGTCGGCGGCGTCGGTCCGCGGACGGCGCCGATTCACACGCCACCGCCTGACCGCCTGCCGCCCGCCTGCGCACGCCACCCCTTGACCGCCCGCGCACGCCGCCGCCTGGCCTTCTGCGCCCTTGACAGCTCGGCATTAATCGCCGGCGCCGATTCGCACGCCGCCGCCTGGCCTTCTGCGCCCTTGACCGCTCGGCTACCCTGGCATTGATCGCCGGCACCCACCCCGCCCACCACGCTTATAAAAGAGCGCCTCGCCCTGTCGTGGCTCGCACAACGCCCCTCGCCTCCCCTCTCCTTCTCCCCCTGCCGCTGGCGTCGCCCCTCTTGCGCCCTACCTCTCCCTCTCGCCGGCGATGGCCCGCTCCACCTTGACCCTCGAGGAGGCGGAGGAGCTCGCCCACTTCGTCATCCCCGCCGCTCCCGTCGTGCGCCTCCGGGCGAGGTGGCGCCTGAGCGTCGATGGCGTGCCGGTGGCGCCGGTGCCCGAGGTCGACACCCACCTCTTCGCCCGCGCCGTCGGCCTGTACCGGGCGCGCCTGTCGCCGGAGGAACTCGCCGACCCCCAGTACGCCCCCAACAACCCCGGCTGGGCGGACCGCCTCGCCGACGACCACCTGCGCCGCCTCCACGCGTACGCCGGCCTGCGCCTGCCGATGAAAGACAACCACGCGCGGCAGCATCAGCTCTGGGACGGGCGCACCTTCGAGGAGGTGGTCGCGCCATACCGCGCGCAGGCGGCCGCCGGCGCCGTGCCCGCTCTGCCGGGGCAGGGCTACGCGATGTTCCGCCGCGGCGAGGCACGGTCCACCCGCGAAACCGTCGGCACGCGCATGAACGTCGGCCCGCGCCCGGCGCCGCACGGCCCCCTCGCTGGTGACCGCGGCGCTGACCGCCTCGGCAGCGACGGTTGCCACACGCGCGCGCGGGACGGCGCCCGGTCCAGCCGCGCCCCTCCGCCAGAGCCGGCGCCGGAACCTGAGCTGGCGTTGCTGACCGAGTACAGGCGGCTGGCGGAGGAGGCCGGCGATCCGGAGGACATGTCGGGCTACCTGACGGCGATCCGGGAGTCAGAGAACGCGTCGATGCCGCCATCCCTCGTGCAGGAGTACATGCAGCTCGGCCCGGTCGCCGTCCACCCAGAGGACCCACCGGACTTCCCCGGCTACCGCCGCGGTGGCCAACTCGATGGCTGCGCCGGCCGCGCCAGCCGCGCCGGTGGTGGGCTTGGACGACGACAGCAGCAGCAACGACAGCGACGACGGCGACGGGCTCTACGACGAGATGGACTTTGGCGGCGTCGAGGACGAGTAGTTTAGTTTAGATTATTTTCAAAATAACGTTTAGTAATGTTTAATTATTTTCCTAATGTTGTGTAGGTTTAGTTAAGTTAAATTTCAAGTATTATGTAAAATATTTATGAAAACTATGATGAAATATCGAGTGTGTTTGCATGGTTTTAAATTATTGTTTGCAAATTGAGTGTTCGAATTAATACTATTATTTAAAAATCTTATACTGTATACAATTATTGTTCAAAATATAGAACCAGAAAATTTAAACTACGAGTGCAAAAAAAGTTTGAAAATTAGGAAAGAAAATAAAAAAGAAAAAAATAGGACAGCTAAATAATATTAGCAAAATAGAATGAAAATAAATTTTAAAAATAGAAATGAGTTAAACTTTGAAATAAAAAAAATTCTAAAAATTAGGAAAGGAAATAAAAAACGAAACAAAGGTGGAAAATAAATAATAGTACCAAAAACAATGAAATTGTTCTCTTAAAAAAATTTAAAACAGAAGTAATGTTGAATTGCAAAAAATATAAAAATGAAACAAAGTAGATAAAACTGAAGCAATAAAAATATTAAGTAATATTAGGAAAATAGAATGAAAATAAATTTTAAAAAGAATGAGTTAAACTTTGAATGCAAAAAAACTATAAACATTAGGAAAGGAAATAAAAAACGAAACAAAGGTGGAAAATAAATAATAGTACCAAAAATAATGAAAATGTTCTCTTAAAAAAATTAAAATTAAAACAGAAGTAATGTTGAACTGAAAAAAATTATAAAAATGAAACAAAGTACATAAAAATGAAGCAATAAAAATATTAAATAATATTAGAAAAATAGAATGAAAATAACTTTTAAAAACAAAAATGAGTTAAACTTTGAATGCAAAAAAAACTATAAACATTAGGAAAGAAAATAAAATCGAAACAAAGGGCGTAGAGGGACATTGTGGGCCGGC